GGTCCCAGTTGCCCCATTTGTTCTGAATGAGGTCCCAGTTGCCCCATGAGTTCTGTATGAGGTCCCAGTTGCCCCATGAGTTCTGAATGCTGGTTTACAGGCAGACATCTGTCACCTTTATACAGTGGGGCCGACATATGACCCTGAATCACAGTAAGGCAGTTGACTTTAAAATACCTGTTGAAATGACCTAAAAAGCTTCTGGATTGCATTAAACTTCTGCAGAAAAGACAAGACTGAGTTTTACAGATATATTTTGTATACTGTTTCTATGTTGAATGAGGCAACAGAAAGGTTACTTTGTAAAACAGTACAGTGCCCACTCTCCCTGCTGGACCTTCTCTCTGTCCAGGAGCAAGCATCACTGGGGACAAACTCAGCTCACTTAATCAGAGCTTATTAACCAAACTGAACCAAATCTTATGGTGTTATAGCCCCCTGGAAATCTAAGTACAATAGATTCATCCAACATGCTCCCCCCTCAGACAGCTCCAATAGAATGCTTCAACATGAAATCCCTTTCACAAAACCATGCTGACTCTGCCTAATTACCTTGAACTTATTCACATGCCCCATGGTGTTTCAGTGGTTAGCACTGCTGCCTCACAGCACCAGGGACCCAGGTTCGATCCCACTCTTGGGTGACTGTCTGTGTGGAGTTTGCACATTCTCCCTGTGTCTGCGTGGGTTTCCTCCGGGTGCTCTGGTTTACTCCCGCAGTCCAAAGATGTGCAGGCTAGGTGGATTGGCCATGCTAAATTGTCATAGAGTCCTACAGCACGGAGACAGGCCATTTGGCCCAAACTGGTCCATGCTGACCAAAATGTCCATCTATGCCAGCCCCATTTTCCTGCACTTGGCTCATTTCCTTCTGAACGTTTCCTATTCATGTATTTGTCCAAATGCCTTTTAAATGTTGTTAATGTACCCCCTCAACCACTTCCGCTGGCAGCTCATTCCATATGCATACCACGCTCTGTGTAAAAAAGTCGCCCTCAGGTTCCCATGTATTCTTTCCCCTCTTACCTTAAACTGATGCCCTCTAGTCCTCGTTTCCCCAAACTTGGGAAGAAGACTGAGTGCATTCACCCTATCCATGCCTCTCATGATCTTATACACTTCTATAAGATCCCCCACTCCGTCAGTCTCACAGTCTAAAGAAAAAAGTCCTAGCTTGTCCAACCTCTCCCTATACTTCAGTCCCTTGAGTCTTGGCAACATCCTTGTAAATTTCTTCTGCATTCTTTCCCGTTTAATAAAATCCTTCCTATAGCAAGGTCACCAGAACTGAACACAATACTCCAAGTGTGGCCTCACCAATGTCCTGTACAACTGCAACATAACTTCCCAACTTCTATACTCAATGCCCTGACTGATGAAGGCCAGTGTGCCAAACGCCTTCCTCACTGTCCTGTCTACCTGGGACTCTACTTTCAGAGAACCATGCACCTGAACTCCAAAGTCCCTCTGTTCCTTAAGGTACTACCTTTCACCATGAAACTCCTACCTGGATTTGACTTTCCAAAATGCAACACCTCACACTTATTCATATTAAACTTCATTTGCCATTTCTTAGCCCACTTCCCCAGCTGATCATGATCCTGCGGCAATTTCTGATAACCTTCCTCACTGTCCACAATACCACCCATTTTAGTGTCATCCACAAACTTACTGACCATGCCTTGTACATTCTTATCCAAATCATTGATATAGATAACAAACAGCAACAGGCCCAGCACTGACCCCTGAGGCCACCGACCACTAGTCACAGGCCTCCAGTCCAACAAGCATCCTTCCACTATCACCATCTACACAAAGCCTTAAGCCATGCTGACTACTCCTAATCACATCTTTCCTGACTTTCCAAATGCATGTATATCTTATCCCTCAGAATGTTCTCAAGTAACTTTCCTACCACAGACGTTAAGCTTACTGGTCCATAATGCCCAGGTTTTTCTTTGTAGCCCTTCTTGAATAAGGACACAATATTCACTACCTTCCAGTCTTCAGGACCTCATCTGTGGCTAACAATGATGCAAATATATCAGCCAGGGCCCCCACAATTTCTTCTCTAGCCTCTTGCAGGGTTCTTGGATATATCCGGTCAGGACCAGGAGATTTATCCACCTTCATAAATTATAACTCTTCCAACACCTCCTTTACCATGATATGGACTGTCCCCAAGATATCACCACTGACTTTCCCAAGTCTTCATGTCTTTCTCCACAGTAAACACAGAGGAGAAATATTCATTGAGGACCTCCCCCATCTCCTGCGGTTCCACACATACATGTCCACTTTGGTCCTTGAGGGGATCCTATTCTCTTTCTAGTTATTCTTTTTCCTTTAATATACTTAAAGAACCTCTTTGGATTCACCCTAATCTTCTCAGCCAAAGCTATGTCATTCCCCCTTTTCACCCACCTGATTTCCTTCTTCAGTAAACTCCTGTATCCCCTGTATACCTCCAAGGATTTCCTTGATCCCAGTTGCCTGTACCTGAGCCATGCCTCCTCCTTTTTTCTGGTTAAAGCCTCAATATCTCTTGTCACCCAGGGTTCCCTACTCCTGCCAACCTTGTCCTTCACCATCACAGGAACATATAGACCTTGAACTCTAGCTAACACACTTTTAAAGGCCTCCCACTTGCCAGAGGTCCCTTTACCTGCAAACAAACTACTCCAATCACCCCCTGCAAGCTCCTGTCTAATTCCATCAAAATTCGCTTTGTCCCAATTTAGAACTTGAACCTGTGGACCCGTTTGGTCCTTCTCTATAACTACTTTAAAAATAACAGAACTATGGTCACTGGTTCCAAAGTGCTCCCCCACTGTCACCTCAGTCACCTGTCCTGCCCTATTTCTCAAGAGTAGGTCAAGTTTTGCCCCTTGAGGGGCACTTTCGGGAAACTTTCCTGAACATACCTAACAAATTCCACCCCATCTAAGCCCTTAACACTATGGCAGTCCCTAAAACTCTTATCTATGATGCGCTCAGCATCTCGGATGATCCTGAGTGCATCCAGCTCCAGCTCCCTAACACGTTCTCCCAGGAGCTGCAGCTGAGTGCACTTCCCGCAGCTGTAGTCATCAGCGATGATGGACCTTCCACATCCTGCAGGAGGAACATGTCACTGCCCAAGCTACCATCTCAAATGCTCCAAGACTAAAGAGGAAAGTTAAAAGGACTTTACCTGAGTCTATCTGGACATATTGCTGAGCTGCTGCTCACCAAAGCCTTTCAACCCAATGCCTTACTTCTGACTCTGCTATGAATAAATTTTCAATAGCACATTTCTCTTCCCTTGTTTTTGGTAGAGGAGGAGGGAGGGAGGGAAACACTACAGTGATGTAATGCTTGGGCCTTAAATACTCCCTGTTACCAGGCCCACAACCGAGGTCGCAACCCTAAACCTAACATTTTCCTGATGACTGGTGTGAAGCTAACTGGCCTATAGTTTCCTGCTTTCTGTCTGCCTCCCTTTTTGAATAAAGGATTAATTCACGGTCTTCCAATCTTTAGGGCTATCTCCAAATTTAAGGTTTTTTGAATTTGAATTACCTTTATTGTCATCATAGAGTCCCTACAGTGTGGAAACAGGCCATTCAGCCCAACAAATCCACACTGACCCTCCAAAGAGTATCCCACCCAGACACATTCCCCTACCTCTGCATTTCTCCACGTCTAACACACCTAACCTAGACATCCCTGGATGCTGCGGGTAATTTAGCGTGGGCAATGCACCCTAAGCTGCACATCTTTGGACTGTGGGAGGAAACCAGAGCACCCGGAGGAAACCCACACAGACGCGGGGAGAATGTGCAAACTCCACACAGACAGTTGCTCGAGGGTGGAATTGAACCTGGATCCCTGGCGCTGTGAGGCAGCAGTGCTAACCACTGAGCCACCATGCCACCCCATGTACACTCAATTTTGGAAAATTAAAAATTAATGCATCAACTGTATCACTTGCCACTTCTTTGAAGACCCTTGGGTCAGGTCTATCAGGACTCAGGAACTTGGCAGCTCCAACAGCTTTGCTCAGTACCACTTCCCTGGGAAATGTGGTTTTCATTCCGGTGAGTTTAACAGTGACTCAAGCCTGATCCTGATCTTCCAACATTTCACTTCCTTTCTGAGCTGTTTCCTACCTGCCTTTCTTATTCATACATCACCTTGTTGTTTTGTGATTGTCGTTTTTCTTTTTTTTTCAGTTTTGTTGGTTTTGCTTTATTCATCAATGGAGGGTCAGTACTCACTCATCCATCCCTGGATTCTACTATCACCTTTGTCAATGTGTCCAATGACACTTTGGTTAGCCTGTCAGCTTTTTCCATTTTATTTTCCTTTGTGCCATTTTCATTCCCTTTTAGATCAGCTGCTTTTTAGTAACTGTGGCTTTCAATACCCTCTTCCTGGTACTTCGAGCAGGCATAGGCCATTCAGCCTATCGGGCCTCTTCCCACATTCTGGATCATGATATATTCCTACACTATTGACATACTCCTACACTATCTACACTATCTCCTTGATGGCATTGGTAACTTGGCATCTATCAATGTGACTCTTGAACCTGCTCAAAGACTGAGATTCCATAGCCCCCTGGGTTAGAAAATTCCAAAGACTTCCCACCTCTCAGTGAAGAAATCCCTCCTTATCTCAGGGCAAAATGGTTGACCTATTATTCTGAGACCACGTTCCCTGGGTTTAGACACAAACTCAGGGGAAATATGCTCCCTGCATTTATTCTGTCTATTTCTTTAAGAATTTTGTAACTTTCTATGAGATTGTCCAACCCTTTCTTCGAAATTTCAGAGAATTCTGGGCCAGTGTCTCCTGATTGGACAGTCCCACCACCCCAGGTATAAATCTGGTTAAACTCCATTGCACTGTCTCTGTGGTAAATCTATCCTTCCTCCAGTTAGTGACCCAGAATTACCTAATGGTGCTCCAGCTACAGTCTCGCACGGTTCCGTATAATTAAATGAAAACATCTTTGCTTCTGACCTCAATTCCTCTTTGCGATTAAAGGTATACTGTCTGCATTCCAAATTGTTTGTGGTACTTGCATTTTAACTTTCAGAATCACAGAATTATTATGGTGCAGAAGAAGCCAGGAAAATGTGACTTTTTGGTCTTGATATTGAGAATGGCCTACCTTGACACCTCATTCAATTTTCCTAAATTTCTCACCATGGCCCACATTATCCAGGGCTGAGAAGATTCTGCCATTAGGGTTGCTGCCATTTCTTTATTTTCTATCCTGCCTCTGCCTGGAATGGACCTACATTTTTTTCTTGTTGAGCTTTTCCTTTTTACATACAGACAGAAGCTTTTACAATCCAGCTTTATATTTTTTGCTGTTTTCTGTTCAAATTCTATTCTCTCCTTTTCAATGTTTTGATTCTCCATTGCTGATTTCTCCCAATACTGGTTTTTTTTGAGAATTAATGAACCTCTGCCTTTGATCTAATGCTATTTTTAACTTCCCTTGTTGCCGGTAGTTCTCTTCCTTGTCCTGTTAGGGGTTTTTTTTCCCTAAAGGAATGTATGTTTTTAGAAAACCAAGCATTAATTCTTTAAATACTAGTCTCTGCCTGTCCATCGTGTGAAGCTTTTTAATGTATTTTTCCAAAGTACCAGAGGAAACGTCCTCCTGGTAATTTCACTACTACTCTTGTTTAGATGTGCACAGCTGCATTTTAAGGTTCATTGTGTTATGATTGCTACTGCCTTGATGTTCCCCTATGTTTGCTTTTCTTATACGTTCTGGATCCTTTCTCCTGATTAGATGCTGCTGTGTTCTCCTACTCACTCAGCTCAAAGTGGTCTTAGGTTTAAGTGGATAATTGTGGATTGAACCCTCTTGTCCTCTCTCCCAAAACACGTTACTATTTGTAGATAATCCTGCAATGTAAACAGAAATCCTGGATTCTTGCATCACTGACCCATCCTCCAACAAATGTCAAGAATTCACAAGTTCCCTTCTCTTGGAGACTGAAGCCATGAAGCAGCTGTTTGTGTGAAATCTCCCTTCCTCTCCATCACCCCAACCAAACACACCTCCTGCTTCTCTCCTTCCCTCCTGTTCCTTTACCTTCTCCATTCACTCCTCTTCCTGTCAGTCTATTTAGGGTTTAATATCTAACAGCTGTTATTCCTTAATCCTTTCACACATTTCCTTAAAGCTTTCTGCCTTCAACTCCTTTCTGCTATTGGCTGCTCTGTAGTTAGGTCGCTCTCAGTCTGATTGACCCTGCCTGATATCTGAGACCTGCTCCTGATAATGAAGGCCCACAGGATCAGCCATTATTCTGTCAGTGTTAACAACAACGAGCCCATCTCCACTTCCTCCTCCTTGGCCCTGTATTCTGTGACCAGTTCCCAGCTGGGAGTTCCCTGCAGTTATGTTTGAGTCCCTCCTGCAGTATCAGCCTGGATTATTGGGTACAGGTGTTTCAGTTTATTTGAGCTGCGATGTATGTTAGGGCGGTTTTATTCTGTCTGTCAGTGGTGCCCTTGTTCCTGTTCTATCAACACACATTTTATACTATCTGCTTGGAAACTGTAATCCATGATTGTCTAGAGTTGGAACATTAACCCAGGAAGAGGCCCTTCTGCCCATCAGGTCCATGCCTTTGTGGACTGACCCGGTGAGTATCACCCCACACCTCACCTTCTGTTTGCTGTTATTTCCACCAGGGGTAGAGTTGCTGGTCAATTTTAAGCAGCGTGGGGTGGGGGTGCATGTAAAAAGGGCAGGGACGCAGCCCACCAGCTTCCCACCCACGCCTGAGCTCACCCCCATAATCCAGAATGGTGTGATTTAGCCAGATCAATGTAACTTGGATTTTTAAATAGTGGCACATGTGGTGGGTATTCGTATGTTTTATTATTCATTCTCAGGACGAGGGCGTTGCTGGCCAGGCCAGCATTCATTGCCCATCCCTAATTGCTCGAAGGACAGCTGACAGTCAATCCCATTACTGTGCGTTTGACAGGTTTAATAATTAACTTGTCAGTATTTTTGGAGCCAAGAGGCTGTCAAAATTTCCAGACTAGGACCTGGAAGAAAATGTTGGTTCCAACCTGTGATAGAGCTCTCTCTGTTGCTTTTGTACTGTAACGTGATGACCTTGGAAATAGATGGAATTGTATTTACGCTGTGCTTCAGAATCTTTCAAATTATGCTTTATAATTATTTCACTTTATTCTATTTTATCTATTTTTTTGGATAACAAACCTGTCTTTTTGTTAAACCAGAAATTGCAGCATTTTATATTCGCGTTTTAGTGAAAGACTCTCTCGTTAAATCTGATCCATCAAGCCAGGGCTCCAGTCTGGCATCTACCTGGTCCTCTATTACCACCAGGGGTTAAATAAACCATGACAGTAGGCACCAGAATTACTGTACCCACACCATGGCAGAGAGCTGGCAGTGGGCAGTGAGCTCTATTTTAATTGTTTATTTTCAATGGGGGAAGGAAAGGAGGATACTGTCTGTGGAGGGGGCCTCTTGGCAAATCGAAAAATAACATCCCCCTTCCCTCCACACGCACAGACTTTAAAACACATCCTCCTCTATTCCCTAATGTCACCAAAACCTTTCCTCATGATTCCCTGACTCAGCTGGAATTGCTGATCCAGGAGACCACTCATTGGAGACACGATTAGGATCTGGAACTGCCCAATACCGAGCCCCGGTACTGCCCAATACTCAGCTCTGCAACTGTCCAATACCGAGCTCCGGCACTGCCCAATACTGAGCTCCAGTACAACCCACTACCAAGCTCTGGCACTGCCCAATACCGAGCTCCGGCACTGCCCAAAACCGAGCTCCGTCACTGCCCAATACCGAGCTCCAGTAGAACCCAATACCGAGCTCTGGCACTGCCCAATACCGAGGTCCGGTAAAGCCTAATACCGAGCTCCGGTACCATCCAATATCGAGCTCTGGCACTGCCCAATACCGAGCTCCGGGACTGCCCAATACCGATCCCCGGCACTGCCCAATACAGAGCTCCAGCACTGCCCAATACCGAACACCGGTACAACCAACACCGTGCTCTGGGACTGCCCAATATCGAGTTCCGGCACTGCCCAACACCGAGCACCGGTACAACCAACACCGTGCTCCGGCACTGCCCAATACCGTGCTCCGGCACTGCCCAACACTGAGCTCCGGTACTGCCCAAAACCAAGATCCGGTACTGCCCAAAACCAAGCTCTGGTGCTGTCCAATATCGAGCTCCGTCACTGCCCAATACCGAGCTCCAGTAGAACCCAATACTGAGCTCCGGCACTGCCCAATACCGAGCTCCCTTACTGCCCAATACCGAGCTCCGGTACAACCAACACCGTGCTCCGGTACTGCCCAATACCGAGCTCCGGCACTGCCCAATACCGAGCTCC